AAGTAATTGTTTATAAACCTAAGGGGCAACTTCGTCAATTTTCAAATCGTTTGTAGTTGATTGTAGTGATTTCTGTTTCGTTTCTAATTGAATAGTTTAAATGTTATAAGCAATTGGTGAAGTCAGCCAATGCGTATAAAAAATTGCTTGTAACTTTTAAACCATTCAACTAGAAACGAAAGGAAAATCACTACAATCAACTACAAACGGTTCTGAATCACATGGAATAAACAGATTTGAAATATCTCAATGTCAGGTGTGGGTAATTGTTTGAATTTCTTTTTATTTATTAAATGCTGGAACTACAAAGTAAACTATTGTTACTACAATCAACTACAAACGAAATACTATCACTCTCCGTAAAAAACGTTAATTTTGAAAGCCGGGTACCAGATTCACATAGCTCGTTTTCTGACATGGAATTTGTAACTCTGCCCCAACAACCACTTCAAAGACCCCCACGAAACAAAATAGTTCCCTACAGTAAAGTCAGTATCGTTCAAAACGCGCATCCGTGAAGTACATACAATGTTTTTCACGTGTCATCCACTGCTATCAATGGTGTGTTTCAATAAGTAATATCAACAACATAAAAAACTAATAAATGTTACATTAACCCACTAATCAACATCTACTTACACCAGAAGACAGTCACGCGTGTGTTACGTTCCCGTTCTACATTTCCTTATTTGGAGTCGGATGTGCGCACCCGGTATTCTTCGCGTAGGCATAGGAATTCGAGACCAATGCGAAGCTAGGGCGTAGTCCCTCGGAAATCTCGGAATCGTGCAATTTACTTCCCCGCCTCCCCTTGGCCTATGATTTTTAGGTATAAAAAGGGTGACGACGAAGGCATATCGGGTCTAGTCAAAGTCTAGAAAGGGTTCCGTACACGTCTGTGCGCGCTCTTATGATATTTCTACACGAGGAAACTTAGTGAGATCGGGTTCAAGTCCCCTTCGAGCAAATTTTAACCATACAGTACGTAGTCTACTGTTAGGCATTTATTTGATCGTTGTAGTCGTCCCCCGTTTGCTCGCGTTCGTGAAAACCGAGAAGGATTAGATTCTAGCTTCGCGGAATCGAAACTATATTTTTAAACTCAGTTCATATTTGTAACATTAGCTTACCATTAGTACACCGTGACAATTACTCTTATAACAATTGTATGTCCCGGTGCATATCAGAATATATATATAATATCATTTTTAATTAGTGTTGATCAATTATAATACCAAGTCCAGTACCCACTAAGGTGTACCTTTGCCGCTCGAGGTACATAAAATACTGTTACGAGGCCTAATACTAACATTTCCTGCGGCTCCCCACGTTAGCCATACGTGGGTTCGTCCTCGACAACCAACCTCCTGGAGCTCCCTACGTTAGCCATACGTAGGTTCGTCTCCGCGTCTACTTCCTCAAGGCACCCAGTGTTACCTAACAACACTGGTCAAGCCATTAAAAAAAACCATATTCCAATAGAAAGCTGCGGCTACGCAGCCGTCCCCTCCGGCTCGTAACACGTGTATCAAACGAGTGAAAACGAATTCATCATCGTCTGCGCATCGATCGCCAAAAATCGGGGATGATATCGTGCCAACCGAAATCACAATTGCCCCATTCACTGACGAAGGTTTTTGCTTTCTTGGCGGTTCCTGCAGGCAGAGGTATTAAGTAAACTGAAGCTAAAATGACGGTTAATAGATTCAGGAACACTTCTGCGGCTCTCTCTATTCGGGTACGCAAAGCGAGAGCAAAAGTAAACAGAAGCATTCCGACGATGGCGACGATGAAACGGTGGTCGACCTTAAACGATCAGACACACTTTGGCTAATCGGATTACGGGTCCACCCTCCCGCGTATCCTTTTTCGTATTCTTCTTCACATTGGACGAAAAAGGACTGCGCGACAGTTTCTGACAATTGTTTCGCACGCTTGCACTCTTTCGCAACGGAATAACGAGAAACTTTGCTTGATCCGCGTTGGTCTAAGAAAAAAGAAATGTCGAAAAGTTTCCGGTTATCCGAGGAGAGATTGGACTAGTGCCTAGCAACGGTCAGATTTCGATCGTGTGTCGCCTAAGATTCTTTTGAAGATGACGAGATCGTCGTTCCTGAGAGAAGAAGGATAATGTTTCGCTAAACGACTTGTAAAGAATGCATGCATACACTTGGAGCATGAAGTTTATTATATCTTTCAAAGAGAAATTTTCTTAATTATTCATACATACAGGAATCAATTGATACTTCAACCATACGGACTTTAGTTTATCTTAACCCTTTGCAGTTAAGGGTAGGAAATTATCTCTTGATTATTTATACATCAATAAATTAAATCAAACTTCAACTAAAGCATAAATGACTAGATCGACAAAGGCAAATATTCGCGTAAGAAAATATCACCAGTAACATACTTTACAAGACGTCACAAATAATGCCTTTATTTTTAACGTGTTTCCGATTGTAGACAGTATGCAATACGGGAATAATTAGATCGAAGAAGGTGTAATAAAGCTCACAGATATTTATAGTGCGTATATTATATGCGCTATATTTACATAATACTAATGAGAAATTTAGCCAAGTGTCTGATCGCTGGAGCATGTCCAATTACACAACCACCACCCTACCGTTTTCCATTTTGTCTCGACCTGACTTCTCCGCATCTCTAACTTCTTCATTTGATCCAGTATCATCCCCAGAGCTTGCAAACATCCTTTGCTTCTTATTCCTAAAACACCTAATGCTTCTTCCTTATACTCCCTTCGTTCGTTCAATCTCTCCAACTCCCATCCCCTCCAAAGTTCCGGAGAACCTCCGTAGCTTGCAAGTACAAAGATTTATTAGTTCCACCGATGTTGTGCCGGTTTTCCAATCTTGTTTTCGCAATGACCGTTGGTAGTTGTTCCTCAACAGTGACTCCCAAAGCTTCTAAAAGGAGGATTCCTACTTGGAGGAGGATTCCTGCGCCCGAGATTTATAAGCAAAGCTTCTTTGCGATTCTTGTTTCAATCAAGAGAGAAGACATCTTGGACGGTATAAAAATATTCATAGCTGTATTCAACAATTTTTGTTGGAAAACAATTGACTTAAGGTAGTTGCTTCGAGATAGTCACGTTCAGACCTAACCCAGATCAAAAGTATAATTGGAAATTTTGATAAAAGTACAATCTTGCTGCTCTCATACACGTCCATAATAAATCAATATGTATATCTACATTTTCTTTGCAATATTAACGGAAAAAGAAGCGACACTCGCTACATTTCTAAGCTTTTTTGTGTTCCACTTGACTTAGTCACATGTTTTACAAAATATCATACAAGGAAAAATGTTTAGTTCGTTATTGAAAAATATTGAAGTAAGAATATAGTGAATTATTGGACGATATTGAAAAATCATTCATTTTTATAGTTTCTCTTGATAATAAATATTTAACAATTATGTTTAATTACTACCAAATTATAACTAATTTAAAAATATTTGACGTAAAGAAATACTTGTAATAATAATGGCTCCAACGTCGCCATTTTATTTAAAAAAAATAGATAAAAATTATTTTTGTATTGCTCAATAGATGTATGATAAACGCTAGTAATCTTCCATTAAGTCAATTGTTTTACAAAAAAATGCTTGAATATTGGTATGATTTTCACGATTAAAAAGTAACTTCCCCTTTTAATTCATAGTTAGATTAATTTTAGTAATTTTCATTTGTAAGAATATTTGACCATCGAAAGAATTTTCTTAGCATTCTTTTTCGGACATAAAATAATGTTGGAAGGAACATTTCATGAAAATTTCTTACGAAGACATCGACCGGATTGTTCGCCAACAATGTCTCGGACATTTCAGATCATTTCTGTGAAATAATTCTTTTCGTAGAGCGTCACGTTCCGTAATATACACGTTGTAGCAATTTCCTCGTCGAACGTTTCCCCTGAACCGACTGTCAACTGCAATGTCAACGCGAATTACTCGCGACTCAACGAATCGAGGAGCCGTGTTCTCGCTTCAACAAAGTTCTTTCCGCTGGTCACTGCGTGCTTCATCAATTTTAATTAAATTGGCCTTACGTATACCGTCATCTCCAGTCATTCGCCTAGCTCACGGGTACTTTCGCCAACCCTTCATTCGTGTAATCGTATGCACACCCATTCTTCTGCCGCATAGCCAAAAACGTCGTTGCGTACAATCAAAGACGAACTTGAACATTCTTGGTTTCATTACATTCAGTTGTTTCATTCGTTGAACATTTAGTTGTTTCATTTAAATGGAAATGGTTGAATACCTCATAAAGGAATTATGTTATTAAAAAAAAATATTTTTATAAAAGTTATTCGGTTCGAAGAGGCAAAGTATGCGATGAAAATAATTTTGTTGCAAGTAAAGTGGTGGAAGAGATTTAAAAAGGTTACTTAAAAAAACAAAGATTAAGGCAAGATTAATGTTTGAAAATTTTGACGATATTTCTATATGGATTGTAATATTAAATTAATTCTCAAATTAAAATTAAGATATACGAAAATTGTATGCGTGTTTAAAATTTCTTAAATATAAATATTGGCTATGTTCGTCCTCGAAAATGTTCGTCGTCCGTGCGGAAATCGAGCAAATTTGCAGACGAGAACTGCGGTCGAATCCCTAATCGAGTGGAAACAGATAATGCCCAAGCAGGAAAGTCACCCTATTAACCCATTAAATACACCGATGTCCTATTTACCGACTCTTTTATTTTCATTCGTCGCACCACCAGGGGTGGATCTACCCAGTAAGCGAATATCTATAGCGTCGAATTTCGCGAAGAGCAAACGGTTGGTAAAAATCGATAAGCATCCCGACTTTACTTAACGTAATAAAAATATTCAACGGATTCAGTGTATTTATCTATACGTATACGAATTAAATGTTTGTTCTTAAAAAATAAATTACATAATTTCTTTGCATCGTTACTTCAATAAAATGCAATTGAATTTAAAGATGTACTTTTTCGGGTTTTTCAGATACAACCCCCGCAATTCGACTTCGCCCGAAGCTTCGTGAAAAATAATGAAAAGCTGACAAGGTTAGTAACGATTTCTTTAATTTATCAGTTTCTATTTTATTTTAAACTTACACTAATGGATTTACTTTTCGCGTTTTCTTGCGATAGAAGCTGCATTTTGTTTTTACAATTCTACTCATATATCGTTTAAGGTCTACGTCGATCACTAGCGGATAGGGCATTTTATTTTCAACATCAAAAAAGTTTATACGTTAACAGGTTTCTATTTGAACTAATAATAAACAAAGTGACCGAGTCTTGCACATATGTATTTCTTTTTTTTTTAACACGTTTACATTTTTGACATACCTTCACACATCTGTTCGACACATTTTATTGGGGCCCGCTGCTCCCCCCTCCCCTTAACTCGAGTACCGCGGGATTGCTAAGCCCGTACTGTAACTATGTACGATCAAACATAGCTACAGACCCTGAGGACAAATTCGAAGTATCTTTGCTGCATTGCTTCTTTTTTATGTGCACTTTCTAAGAATGTTTGTAACATATTTCTATCTATAGTAAAGACTGGATAAGTGCAAGATAGGATTGACTGGATAAATGGAAGATGACTATCCTCATCGCTGAAGGGTTTCCCCTTAACTCTTTCCTCTTTCTTTTCACTCTCTGTCCTTTTCTACATTCGACTCTAGCCAAATGTAAACACAGAATAGGAACCTCGACTGGCTAACTGCAATGTTTGAGTCCCGATTGTCTTGTACTTGTCCAGTCTTTACTCATTTATGGTATTACCAAAGTAATTGGGATGTGTACTTGCTTCTGCGCGTGGATAAAACCCAGCGTAAATGGTTGGCAATAAATAACGATAATAAACGATTTCTCTAACTCTCCCTCTGAAATTCGGAATGGGTTAAAACGACCGTGCTTCGTAAACCCGGTGTTAAATTATCCCTCAAGAATTATTTTCGGGTTTGATATCTCCCATTGAAGATCGGACTACTCGTCGTTTTCATTTCGAAGGTAAAGAAATTAATTAAACGAGCACCGGTTAACGAAGCCAGCGAACGATCTTCAGAATCGACTGCACCGCGCGTAACACAGGGGTCATCGAGATCCCTCCGGAAACGGCAGATATGGGGTCAAGAGTGTCGCCGCGGTCGACACGTCTGGTCGCCTAGAATTTACATACGGTAACGGCTGATTCGTTTTAGTAGAACGAGCGACTTATGCTATCGAGTAACGTCTCGCCATCACGAGAAGTGCACTCAGAAAACTCCAATCTCGCGGAAAGACAATACCCCTGTCCATTCTTTCACCCTCATCGTCAGGCTTCTATGAATATTTACAGCAAGCAGTGACTCTTCGAACTCCCATAAGGATAAAGACAAAATGAAATATTTGTGGAGGCCGTCAAAAAATTCAAACACTTAAATTCATTCGGCATGAGACACATAAATGTATCTCTAAGCGAGAAAGCATGGGGATTTGAAACAGTTTCTGATTATTTCAGAATCTTGTTGGTATTTAAATGAAGTTAATATAGAATAATTAATTATTAGAAGAATTTAGTTATATTGCATTTATTATGTAGTAGAAGAAATTGTAAAGGAAAAATCATTTTTTTGATCAGCAGTTTTAATATGTATAAAAACATGTAAAGTTGTAATATGTGCTCAAAGATGGTACTCTCATATATTAAAGTTACAAAAATTCTTTATGTAAGAATCAGTATCGACACGCAATTTGGCAGGCTCGTTTGAAATTGCGAAAATGTACTTGTTGATTCAGACTAATATGTACAGAATCACCACAAAGTTGAAATACCTATTTTAAATATTCATTAACTTCAAGTTTCTTTAATTAAGGAAGCTTCTTTTTCGTAGACATGTTGTACGGGAGACTGGGGTCAGAAACATGGGTCAATAAAAACAAGTAAAATAATTTAAAAATGGCTAGTGTTATGGACAGATCATCAAGGGAAAAGGTATCAATTTTCATGTGTAAACATTTCGTTTGTTACTTATCACCGATTTGGTTTCTAACTGTTCTCATTTCGTTCGTTAATCCAAAACTGTTGTGCTTTTCTCTGTCTAATTTCCACTACCATATAATTATCAATGTCCTACTTGATTTTAGAATGTTAAATATCTATCTGCAACATTTAGTTTGTTTCTGCGTAATTAAATATTTGCAACGACGGGGTTGGGCCAGTTAAAACAACTGTTTTAGTTAGGAGTTATGTGAAATGTTTGTCGAGATTCTTCTAAAAAACTTCGAACTATTTCAATAATATTTATAAAGTCAAATCAATTGATGTGTACATGGATGTTTTGAATTGCGCGCGTCAGAAAAGAATGGCGATGGAAAACAAAAGCCGATTCTGTAAAAGCTCCGGTTCGGTATGCGAAGCGATCGATACCGAATCGGCACGTAATAAAGGCGTTCACGATTTTAACCGAGTTCTGTTTTTCCTGGAATATCCGATCGATCTTTTCAACAGCTAAAAAATATAACGTAGCAGGATATTTTATTAAAAACGTTTCAATTCCAATTAATCCCAGTCTTCCTCGTGCAAATGGTAGGAATGAATTTTAGAAACACTGATTTTGGGCCCTTTCACTTCAATTTGGGGCCCTAGACAAGTATAGTGTTTGCTTATAGGATAATACAAGTATGACATTGCGTGCAAGCCGAGAGCCAGATAACACGCGAGCGCTACACACGGATTTAACCAGAGGGATGGGCGTTTCGGTCGCACGAATCGCAAGATGAACAAATATTTGCTTAATTTGTCGTTTCGCGTGGCTTTCGAATATTTGTTGACAACGCGCGCGTTCGAATATGTACACCAGGCTTGTCAAACACGCGGCCCGCCATAGGTTGCGGCCCGATGAGACTTTTTAAAAATTTGGTGAAAGGTATATCGATTAATTATTTTAAATTAAATTTTATTTTTATTTGTATGCAGTTTAGTTTACTGTAGTATGCAGTTTAGTTTACTGCAGTATGCAGTTTAAATTTTGCATTTCAATAAGTTTTAGTTTAGTGATTGTAAAAGAGAGAAAATATAAGGTTAAATTAAATCGAGCGTACATAAGTCTCATTTACGTGCATTTGCGATTGAGCAAACACTTTGCGGGGACGATGGTACGGAAAAGTGCGAAGGTACCTTTTCATTTGATGCTTGACACGCGTTTCGAGCGATTGCGTGGTCACACGTGACACCAGCGTGAACCAGGAAAAAGTTAGCATTTTTCGACTTTAAGTGTCAAAGCTTGATATTAATTGAATAAATATGGGTTATTAATTAATTAACCTTTTACGATTTATATAAAACAAAATTGTAAAATAGATTCTGGAAATGAGTTAGAAAGTTCTGAAAATGTAAATGAGTTTAGTGTACGCGTGCAGGGTCTCTAAAACGGACATTTTTGCTCGTATTTGTTTTATGTATTTCGTGTACTTTTCTTTATATAATATTATGCTAATCATAATTATTAAAGGAAAGTCACAGAAGTTTAATCCAGTAAATTACCGTTATAATATCGCAAGTAAAAAAGAAAGAAAACGACAGTTTTCGATACGCAATCGACTAGTGCATACAATAATCGAATATTGAATTATTATTCGTACAACATTCGAATAGTCAATTATTCGAACATCATTCGAACGATCTCCAGGTAATCAAGTATTCGTATTACAATATTCATCGATTAATCGAATCACTAAATAATCAGATACAGAAAAATGGGACAAATACCCACATCCGAAGCACAATGAGAAATTTTGATCATTACGCGAGCGAACACCGCCGAAGGACTCGACCTCGGCGATAAAACTGTGGTAAAACAGCTGGTAATTGTAACAATTAGCGTCATTGTACGTTCCGCGAGAACGCCTATTATAGCGTTAGTCTCGTCGAGTCATCGGCTGCTGAAACTTTTCGCGTCAAGTTTCAGCAGCCGTGGACGAGTCCAATTGTCGAAAGGTATTCGCAAGGAAGTTCCCTTAAGGTGATGCTTAAATCGTCAACTCTTTTCTCCTCCGTCGCCTACTCCACCTCCTGCGCGTTCTTCCGGCCTCCATCACCCATCCACCTGTGCCGTTTCAATTTTCCGTCGTAATTTCGGGGCTAGCTTTTAAAAAGTTCCGTGTAAAATCTCATTTCTTCCGCGGGAAGCAATATTTGCATGCGCCGACAAGCTAATATCGCTGTTTACCTGGGAAACACAATAATCGTCCGGCGTGTACGAGCAAACTTCGAGCGGAAAAAGATAAATTCTTGCGTGAGTCGAGCTTTTAATATCGATACAAAAGGAAGATCCAAGCGGTCGCATTTAAAATTTTGACGAATCGACCGACAAAGTCATCGTCGAGGGTGTACAGGGAGGGTGGCTTTAATATTTCACGCAGCCGCGAAATCGCCTCTCCAATTTTTCGCCGCTACGGTATTTTTTTTTTCACGCCCATTGCCGCTGCCCCGCCTTTACACTCTCGTCTACTTTTTTCCTTCGATTTTTTATCTACCTTTCTTTTTATACCATAACGGGAGCTTTGAAAACGTATTCCAACACGTTTTGAAACGCGGAATCGCAATCACGATTGGGAATCTTCGGAAAAATTTAAATTAACGTCGGTTAATCTGCCCGGGTGTTCATGCAATTCGTGTCAAATGTAAATACACAAAGATCTATAATAATGTGTACAAATGAAAAATGTATGACATGACAATTGTTCAGAACTGCATGCCATAATATTTAGAATATTTTGGGTAAAAATGTGAATTCGAATAAATACTCTTGAGTTTAACTTATAGGGTCACTCGAAATCTCTCTCAAACATAAATTGTATCATACTTGAATTACGGGGAATTGATATATTTCCACTTACGATGAATCAGTAGTATAAAAAAAAAAAAGTAGAAAATTCACACGGTCGTATAATAAAAATACAACTAACTACACTGCCCACGCAAACATGAACTTCAGTCGGAGTCTTAAGATACTGGGAACACTTGTCAAAACATCGCAATGGTAGAGTAAACAAACATTTATCGAAGCAAAATAAGCTATAAATAATGTACAAATGCCTGGGATCCTTCGAGATTTCGAAAGCCCTGTCCTCGTTTTAAATCTCGTTTTTCGAGTAATCTTTGGGCTTTCTAAACCAGAACACTCCATCGAGGAATCGCGTCCCTTTTGCAACAATAAAGTGGCTTATTTTAAATAGTAATTGATCTAGTTATTTTTATTTTTAACCGACTTCGAAAAGGAGGACGTTATTCAATTCGACATGTATTTTCTTTTTTTTTAATTTTTCATGCAGCTCTTTTGTTACAAGAAATTATCGTTACCACCAAACTATCGATAGCTCTCCACCACTACTGTCATGCCTTTAGTCAAACTATTAGGTTGTTGCGTATTGTTTGATATTTGGGTTATTCGGTAGTCGCAATGAAAACTCGTGGAATAATTTGAGAAAAGTATATATAATTAGGAAACAATGATACGCTTTTGAGTACGTTCACACTTGTGTAACACATTTTAGGTTAAGGTGGAAATTTGCACTGGATGCTCTCGAATTTGCGAAATAATTTTAACGCCGCAACGCAACGAGATTTTCAGATACTGATTTCTAACAGATTATCGTTTGAAGTTTTAATGGCATCCTGCTTCAACCGAGGAATAGGGGCTGGTGTTTCGAATGACTAGAAGTTAGGGAGGGGACGTGTCTCAAACTGAGAAATAAGGCGCGAAAGCTCGACAGCTCCGTTTCTACGTTTTAGCGTATCCGGGGAGAATTATAATTTCAGATTCCGGATTAGCATTTCACTTACGTCGGCCACAGGAAAAATGAATATACAAACGAACGTAGCCGGCTTATCGGTGGACGAAACAGAAAATTCCATGGAAAGATTTTTTTTTTTCAAGAACGTTTTTCTCCGAACTCAAAGTTTGTTGTATATCTCTCGTCGTATCTTGACAACCCGTTTCAAATATTGACGAATGATGACGAGTAAAAGTACTGTAATTTATTAGTACTGGGTGTATAAATGAATTGTATATCTATCGGAAATGGGGTGTAACGAAATAACGAAATACTAAATTAATTAATTAAAAGTTTTGATTTTATAACTAAAATGTCATGACAAAATGTCACGACGAGCGTTATAAAAAAAAGAGGTAGACAGAAAATTTCTAGCAATATACACTGCAATTTTCACACATCTGTTTAGTCTGTAGTAAACTATAGGAAGGGTACTCTCAGGCACTTGAGAAGGGAGGCCATATTCTAAACTTTCCCTTACGTTATTTTGTAGTGACAGTATACATTGTATATTCTCAGTACATTTATTTTTGTAGTAAAATAAAATTTTGAATTATAGTATATATTCCAACGATAGAAATATTTAATCGTCATGCTGTTAAA